GCATCACAACCCAGTCTCATCGATCTCGAGGGATCGACGGCTTCGAAATTTCATACCTTCAGTTTAGTGCGTACTATGAAGACAGAAATACCACCATTCGATTCAGAAATAAAAGATCAACTAGTTCCAAACGATAGTTATAGCCATTATTAACATTGTAGCGATTTATCGGCCTTTGAAAGTCCAACACGATCATATTGTATCAAATTACGCAATTGTCTGAACAAAAATATAGACTAGCCATACCTTTCGCCGAAAGTAACTTCGGCCCCTTCGAACATATCGTCTTTGTAATAGGCTTGTTAGAAGTCCCATTAAAAACACTATTTAGAGTGTTATTTGCAAGCCTGTATCTTCAAATCTGTATCTTTTATCAATATATTTCCATTTCTTGTCCGACTGTGAGCTCGAAGTGAGTTAATCCCAACCGGAAATACGACTGAAAACCGTCAAAACAATGCGGCGCTTATATCGTATGACCCTGGAAAGGCCAGAAATGGATTCGCAAGGTCAAATTGCACCTACACGCGTGAGTTTGACGTCATCCCGGCTACAGGAGCTTCTTATTGGCCAATTATTGCGCAATGTACTCAAGTGCGAGTAAAACCCGACATCTTGAAAAATTCAAAATAAATATTTCTAGTCGGCGTATACATACGAAACTTTCTACAAGAAAGCACTTGAATACAAAGAGTATTTTACACATATAGCCGTTCAGCAAATGTCGAAAAGTTCAAGGGGTATTCAAGATGTTGTGTATATGAAATTTAGAATCTTTGGCCAAGCGGTGAGTAAATATATGATTGTTTCGGTTTGTGTAATGTTCAGACGGCACTTGACCCCCCGTTTGAAAGGTTATTTTGTGAGGATTACAATGGTGGTATTTATTTATAAGGGGGGTAAATACTCGCCGAGATATTTATATTAGAAAAATTGTGTCGTAATATGATGCGAGAGGGGGTGGTCGAAAAAGAGTTTTAAAATTCTGGATGTGTCTGAAATATGCAAAAAACGGCGTATCAAATATTAATCAAGATTTGCCCGACTAAAACATGCATTATTACCAGTAAATAAATGACACTTGACAAATTGTTTATTATGAAACAAAGTATTATTATCTACAAAATACAAGCAAGATTTATTCGTCCGAAATCCGCGTGTGTTCCTTAGACGAATACGTTTCCTTATTTCATGAGACCACTGCATCGCGAATTAAGGATCGTCATGGATATCGTTCGTAGTTCTGAATTAGGGCATGCTGTCACAATGGAATTGTGAAGCTCTTCTAACTTCTGCAACGTTCTGAAATCTTGTTAAGAACACCCAAACTCTTTTGCCTTTTCTTAATCTTGGCAAGTTCAGAATAAACTGAGAATGAAACACAATCAAACCATACAACTCCATAAGTAAAGACATAACAAGCAACTCCCCAGAGACATCCAACATTTTTGGAACAAAACGTAACAAAATAGTAGCTTTGATACTGTGATGTGTATTTGCAAAAAGCAATATTATTTCCTTTATTAAAGAAATACTCTGCTCTAACTGAGAAATAATCAACTCTGTTTTGAACCCATGAAAAACATAAAAAAATTAGGCTATTTAACAAAAATTTAAGTGCCGGCCTTGCATATATATGGTTTTTCGTGTACCTTTTAGTTTGTAAAGACCTATTAAATACTTGCATAATTTCGAACGTTCAATATTTCAGGAAACAATCAGCTAAGACTTACATGCATGTTAAAATGTCTAAATCTGCACCATATCCCTTACAAACCCTAACGACAATTCACTGAAAAACAAGTTAGCCTGATTTGTCATTTAGCAAACAAACGCTAGAGTTAATATTTGATATGCCGATTTTCGCTGATTTTAGACACATCCCAAAATATGCTCCCGATTTTGAACATTAATATCTCCATGAATGTTTAAGTAAAATACAACTGTAATATATCAAAATCTAAGTTAGTCCTTCCTCTATTTAATGCAAGTTATTTCTGTTTAATATCTGTACTTGTTTAGAAGTTATTATAAATCAAACCGGAGTACTTTTTTTTGGGAAACCCGGTAGTTATTAAAATTACGAGATATAGCATTGCTGTCCCCACTTTGTTGAGATGAATCCTGCTTCTATTAAGATGATTTGATATAATATGATGTCCAATGAATTCCAGTGGCGTTCGAGACACATTTCTCTCAAAACTTTGTTAACCTGATTCACTTTATTTGCAAGATCACCATTATCTATCCGAGTAATTAGACCAGATATTATAACCTCTGTCTCAGTTAAAGTATTCTTGACTGACTCTGCTAGCGAGATTATTTCTTCGGCATGTTTAGTAGAAGTTTCCCTACTCTTAAGGCTATTAGTGCCAACATGCAGAATAAGTTTGTCAGGTCGTTTTCTTTGTATGGGTTTGACGTGGTCTGCCGTATCTAAGATAGTGCATCCAGGAAATGTTGAAACTTGGACCCTCGTATTTTTTGCAGACATTCTATATATCCATTTAAGTGCTTAATCATTGAATCACCCGCTATTATGACTTTTGTAGGCTTAGTTGTTTCACTATTATGGGCTCTACTTTGCTCCTCTTGCATATTACTGCTGCTTTCCTGGATTTCTCCTCGACTATTAGAATGGCCATTTACATTCAGTTCTTCTGGCATTGTATCCCCGAGTGCTATATTTTCCTCTGTAACAGCACTTGTTGATGCGGTTTCCACTGTAACAGCATTGGTTGATGCAGTGGGCAATCTTTCTTTGGTAACATACGTAGATCTCTTTCTACTTTTCTTCGGTGTCTTTGCTGCAGTCCAAACGTTCTTTTGGTGATCATTTGCATTATTGTTCCTGTCACTGTATAATTAGTATGCTGTAAATTGTCTTCTTGTAATAATCTAATTACCGTGGTGAGACTAGATTTTTCACTTAATTGCATTAAGTTGTTTATTGTGGATTTAGCTGATTCCAAGTCACTTTGTAAGCGAACATTTTCCCTTCGAAGCGACAGATCACTGTTGCAAGGTACGGTGGGATCATCAATCTCATGAGCGTCCATTCGATTTTGTAATAGCTTCATTTCAACTTCGATACGCTTGATTTGTAATGTAAAGTCCTTGCAATAACAACTACTGGAATTGTTCGAATTATAACAAAATTCAGAGGTTTTCTCTGCTTCGTATTCACTTACATTGTTTGTCTGCTGTGAATAGCTATCAGCATTACATGCCAAAAGGCTACGAGACTTTTTGCTTTCGCCCGCCATATTGCCTTCGTGTCGAAGCTCGCTGTTTGTATTGAGCTTGTCGGTAATCATCGTAGCTAACTTCTCTAGTTTCTCGACGAGACTTCGGTTGTGATCATCACAAACAATCGACAGTTTTTTCTTACTTTTTCCATGCCATTTTAAGATGTAATTGCAGCTAGTAAATAGCTTTACTTCGCCACCCGGTGACGTCCATTTTCCTTGAAGTTGCAAATCGTATTTCACAAAGGCTTTTAATTCTTCCAAAGGTTCCTCCCAGGCAAATTCTTTGGCTGAGTAAATAAGATTAACTGTCTTAGATGTTAGATGCTCTTCCTCATTATTGTTACTTTGCGGATAGGCCAAGTAATCTTCTATAATCACAGAGTTTTCCAAAGTATGTCCTTCGTCCATGACTGCATGTGAATGAAGTTTTGTTTCCGGCGAGTTCTCCTCTATCTGTTTTCCAAGTGAGGATATCGATACTGCTATCTCTTTAGGAGTTGAATGTTTTAAATCATTAGTACCAACATGTAAAATTACGCTTTTAGGATTTTTCTCGACTGTCGGTTTAGCATAATGTTGCATATCGTCGACATTAGCACCGGGGAACGTTTTCACCATAACGTTACGTTTCAAGCTTTTCCGTAATTTAGAAGGATTAATGAACTTTATCATCGAATCACCAAGTATGGCGACATCAATCGGATCACGACATTGGTTTGGTGGATTTTCAGACTGATTTGGAGAACCTGTTGGTTTGTCTGTAGCATTTTCTTTTAAGTTATTGAGGACATTAGAGCGGTTGCTAGTTTCAGGTTTGTCTTCAACATCAATCGCAATCGGATTACAACGTTGGTTACAATCTATAGCGTTTTTTTGGTAGATAAACTAGATTTATTTGTTTTGTCCGGTAATTTGACGCAATCTTGAACTTGTTTCTCGAGGTCTTTCATCACAACTGGTGTTACAACATGGGAACTTGTATTTTGATTGAAGACTTCAAAACGGTTACTAGTTTCCGGTTTGCCTTCATCCCGAGATAATTCAGTTGATTGTCTGGTTTGATGTTTGGGTTTTATCCACGCATTGCTATTGTTGACACGATCGATGTTGTTAGCTGAATCTTCTATTTTATTATCACTTGCTTTCTTCTCAATATAGTGCCATTGATTAAAGTCATTTTGAATTAGCTTTATTGTGGTGATTAAACTCGATTTTTCTTCTTCAAGTTGCTTCTTCGATTGGCTTAGTTGCGATATTGTTTTATGCATGCTGTTATTGTTTTCCCGAAGCTCTTCGTTTTTTCTAGACAATTCAGCCTTTTCTTCCTTCAAGCGTTACAATGGAGTATGGTTTATTTTCTTTCACTACATTTATTTCAAGAGCTAGATCATCTAGTTTTGTTGTAACGTCCTTACGGAATCTCTCAAAATGTGATTTTAATATAATGATTTCAGGGTTACAACTAAAACAGTTTGAGTGAGCACCACCAGTTCCCCGGGGATTAAGTGTATCTTTTGTTTCGGTTAATCCGACATGCAAATTTCCTTCAGACGATACAGAAGACTGCACGTTTCTCCCAAGTTTTTCGCCTTGAAATGCCAACCCAGATGTAATATCCCCTGTTCGATTTTCGGAAAATTCATCAAAGTCGCTATCGTTTAATTTATCCGCAAGGTCATCAGTTAGCAGGCTTTCTACGTTTCTTTCTTGATCGATAGCTTTGTCATCGTCACATCGGGAATTCGTCTTATTTAGTTGCATAAAGTTGTACACTCGTTCTATAACTTCTTTCCCCTTATCGCCACCGAATTGAATGTTTGTACTTTTCTTTTGCCATGTAACTGTTAATTCTTTACTTTCGAAGCACCACTTTCCGCCGCTTGGTGACTTCCACGAACTCCACGAGGTATTATCGGCGGTATCTTCGTTAATCTCTGTCAATACAAACGCTTTCAAGTCTTCTATAGTGCCTTTCCATTTCAACTTATCGCCTTTCGTGTCAAAGAATTTGTACAAAAGATTTAAAACTGTTGTCGAAGTCATATTAGAAGTGTACTAAATCTAAAATTTGCTATTTCAATCAGCTTATCGGAGCTCTCAAATACACGTCTGACCCCTGTCGCATATCGAAGTAACTGGTTATCTGGCTGGATTGTGCAGATTCTTGAGATGCATGATCTTCTCTGGCGAAACATACGGCGAGTTTCTCTTTTAAATTAACTTCCCCAATGCTACAGGCGACGAAGGGTACTGCCTCTAGAACGCTAAAGCCCCGTTTACACGACCAATTTTTATGTGACAATTTTTATGTGACAATTTTTATGTGACAATTTTTATTTGCTCGTGTAGACGAGGAAAATTGGGCAATTTTTGTGTGGCAAATACTGTTAACACTAGCGTGTTAGCTTTTATGTGACAAATAAAAGTTGTCACATACGAAAAATTGCTTGTGTAGATTACTTGTCACATAACATGTCATATTTTTTCTCCCGCCATATTTGTAAAAATATAATTGTAGTTTTATTGCGCGAGATACCACTGTTCATAGATATTTTTTAAACAGCAATCAACAATTATTTGTTGGCTCATCTACATGACCAAATACATTTTTCACATAAAAATATGAAAAATTGTCACATAAAAATTGGTCGTGTAAATGAGGCTTAAGAAACCTCCTGTGAGAGACGCAGCTATCATAAACACTGTTTCCGCCGAGTATACACGACACTATAACAGTATTCCATTGTTTTGTGGCATGTTTTACCTATGAGAAATTTTAACGTAAAGAGAACAAGAAAAATGTAATTTTTTGCTAGAAGTGGGCCCTGTGTTGTGGCCTGTTTGCCGTGTATTGCATTGCGTGTATACATTTATATAGTCTTATATAGGGTGCCAAAATTTTGTCGAACGTTTTTATAAAAAAAAATATGTCGCTAAACATCAATAATTTTCGTGTTTACAATATTTCAACTTTATTATTTACCCTACAAGTTGAGTGGGTTTAAATTCTTAACTTTTCCAGAGTTTGCTTAACTTTCCCACTTGAACGTCGATATGTAAATTTATTTGGCGAAATGTTCGCACTTTTGGTGAAATGTTCGCCCGGTTAAATTATTCTTTTTTAATTGAAATACTATTTCCTTTCACACTTTAAATGCGTGGAGACTTTATATTAACGTATAGTGTTACTTTCTACTATAATTTTTTGTTTGTTTCACTTACCTTAAAATAATTAATAGTAATTTTTTGTTTCGAATTTGGCATTTAAATTTCCCGCCATGTGTTTTAATCCCGCGCATGCGCAGACATTTTTCCGCGGTGTTGGTACATGCTGCTTCCGCAGTGTTTACAACGGTCAGTTACAGCTCTGTAAATGTATTTACTCTGTGTTTAAAACAAACTTACCTTCATTAACGTCGGTGCCTTTACTCCCTTCTTTTAGTAATTCTTTCGCCTTTATTTTCTTAAAAAGCTTTTGAAATTCACAAAATCTTGCAAAAATGAAATATATTTGCAAGAAATCATCAATCATCAAATCACAGAATATAAAATAGACCAGAAGCCTCACTGTATACCTTTCCCTAACCAGAGGCCACGGAAGCATTTCGAAAGTGGAGGGGCATTGACCAAAATGCTGGGCACTTTTGTATATGACCAAAATCAAACGATTTTATGATGTTCACGAGCTGAACGAAATTTTTGAAAATATGAGTCTCTATAACGTCGGAATGGCCTTTACAGAGTCTTTACTACTGCGAAAAGGACATTTTCAATCCAGAAAAAGAGGGCGTTTATTCAAGAAATACTTTTGTCGTTTTTTAAATGGGGCATTTAAGCCTAGTAATAATATACATAGAAATATTACTCGACTGTGATTGGTTGGTTTCAGTGCATTTAATCCCAAACAGCAGTGCAAAAATCTGTAACAACAGTGCAAAAATCTGTAACAAACTGATCTGATTTGTGGAAAAACATTGTAATGATAAAATCAACCAATCAGTTTAAAGCAATTTAGTTTAATTAAAGAAGTAACGTTCACAGATTGCTTCAAAACAAAACAAACCTGGCGCCACGCTACACAAAGTAAAAGTTGCCTTCTCGTGGAAAATTTTTAAACGGAAAAGCATTTACCTTAAACAAGATTAACAAAAATTACATAGTTGAGTGGAATTTTCAAGCTGTTAGTGTTGTATAATGTGATATAACAAAGCCAGGAAAACTTTGCCAGTGGAATGTTCGCTATAAACGCGTAAGTTAATAAAACTACAATTGTCTCGAACATTTTTATTAGTCTAGGACCTGTATATGAGTTTGTATGCGTTTCATTTAGCACAGGTAATCTCAACTGTTTTAGGGTAAAATGACCATGGCGGTCAACATGGCATATGTGGCAAAACCTGAATCCGGGACCTGAATCCGGGACGAAAATCCTGAAAATGACCCCGCCCTGAAACGGCAGTGTCGACATAGCTCTAACTTCAGAAAACAAAAAGCGATAGTCCTTCTGAAGTGCTTATAGTGTTTAGAAGGGTTGAAAAACTGGGGTGAAAAACTATGCTTAATTTAATATAAATATTGTTGATATCATAAGGATTGTCATTGTTTTCTTTAAATATAATACATTTTATTTCACTTACCCCCCACAAAAACACGATTTCAGCCATATTTTGCCGTCTTGTTTGCTTTTTATCGCCGAATCTCGCAAATATCATCCAGTTATTGTACTTTTACATAATCATAAATGGCTGACGAAGATTTCAAAGAAGGTTTCATCCACTTTTGAAACAGTGCAGTGTATTTTATCTTCGATATTGTGTCCTTCAATATTTCGTCAAATTGCCGCCATTTTAATGGCTCGCCGCTTCTCTGCCCGATAAATGCCACTTCTTCGTTTTCATATGTACTTAGATTAAATTATCCAAGAGTACTTCATTGTAGAATAGTCCCCATCCAAAAATTGGAAATATTATTTGTATTTGGGAGGAAAAAATCTCCCATAATAGTTGCCCTGTCAGAATTCAAAAGAAGTAATTTAAAAGTCATGCGCAAGTTCGCGAAAACACCTCGTGGGTTACATAACAGGGGGGGTGTGAATATTTTCACGAAACGTTTGTTTGCCACCGCAGGCCACAGCAACCTAACTAAGTACATTATATTTATTGTATATTTGTGATTATGATAAAAACAATAAATATTTGTGTATTTTTATCATCAATTATAAAAATACAAAAAAATAATACATTTAGTTAGGGCGAACAAACATTTCGTGAAAATATTCACCCCCTGTTATGTAAACCACGAGGTGGGTGTAACCCACGAGGTGTTGAGTCCTTCGGACTCGTGCTATTTTGAGGTCTTTGAAAAACTCACTCGTGCATGTTATATCCAAATTGCACTCGAAACCATGCTATTACCTATACAAAAAAGGGCACTTTTTTCACTTTTAAAAAAAGTGGGGTGGGGGGCACATGCCCGGTTGCCCCCCGGTTGCAGATGACGTGTGTGACACTTGCTGCGAACATCACGTCATTGTCAATCTGGCCAAAGAGTAAAGACATAAAGAGAGTCCACTCGGTGAAAAATGCAGTGTTTATGACGTCACACGGATTTGCGAGCTGACGTCATTTACACGCCATTAAAAGCAAATTAAATATTCCAAAAAAATTTAATATGCCGCAGCCAGTACCGTCGCTGCGTTTTCAGTCAAAACTATAGGGAAAACGCAGTTCGAAATGCAAAAAGTGGCATTTTTAAGGAAAAGACGCTTTCGAGCTTCATATCTGGACAAAATTTTTCAACAATAACAGTAAGTGATCTTTTCTATTCACATAAGAAGTACGGTTGAGCTTTTGAAAAACTTTTATTTGATTTTGAAAGTTGAAGGAGCGGTCTGCCCACAGTCGAACTACTCGAAGCGGCCATGCCGTTCTAAATGTTCGCTATTCTTGCGTTTGTACGTTTTATTTAGTATTTTTTGCACAAAAAACCATGACAGAAAAGGAAAGAAGTAGCAGGCATAAAAATTATCAACAACCATATGTATTCAAACGGATAAAACAGGTGGATTGATAAGGATTGATGTCAAACTGTAAGTTTAATACTACAATTGAAAGTATTTAATATAATAAGATGTCTTATGAAGTAATATGTACAATATAAAAGAACTAGTGTCCTCAAAACATTACAACGATGCTAAGAATATATAAACTGCAAATTTTCATTCAAAAAGAGTTTTAAAACTATTTTAAGGGACCGGTCATTATTTATGGCAGGGGTTGGCACTGGTTGGGTAATAAAAATTTATTGTTTCAAGTCAATTTTATTTACCACAGTTTAGAAACGTTACAATTGAAAAAACACAACAACAAAAACATTAAAGTATATAAATAGTGGCAAGGTACCCCAAAGAGAAATCAGAAGGCTTATATGATTTGGGCTCCTTATTCACAAGTTTGATAGATCTGAAGTGAAGGCAGCTTAGCATAAACATTTCCAAAGCATGACTCACTGAAGTATTGGAGACTAAAAAGCAATGTCAACAGTAGCTCAGTCATATATATGTCAATACAATATGTGAATCAATCATGAGAGTCACTATCTTGATCATTTTCCAATATGTTGGCCAGAGACAAATGGTGTCTCCAAAGAAAGTGCATGTGCAAACAACATGAAACTTTAGACTGAAGAAAATTTCACAAGCAGTTGTTACACTCATGTAACAGAAGTGGTAAAGGACATGTGTGTGACAACTGAATGGTATGTGTGTTAAGAATTGACTTCTAATTAGTTTAATTATTCTAAACAGTTTATGATAAGATATGCATGAATAAATAATTAACCCAAAAAGATTAGTAGATAGAATTTGGAATTGTTTAGTTATAGTTAGAGCGCTTATAGTCAGAGCACATCGAAATCGAACGGTGATATAAATGAGAGTTATTAACTAAGAGTTTATAAAAAGGGATCTGCGGGGACAGAGGTACGTTTATATAATAATATACTGTAGTGATTTATAATTATAATATATAGCAGAGTAGATAGATTAATGACTTGTAATTATTGTTTATTTTAGTTTTTACGTACTGTCCTGGATAAATATACGTTTAATATACAAGAAGACTATAGACCATGAAGAGTCTTCCTTTTGTAACATAGACCACAAAAGGTCTATGCGTTGTTGTTAGTTTGTTTTGTCGAGTTTATCGGGATGGTTCAGTAATCTCAGCCACTCTCAAAGTCCGATCCTTTACAGTAAAAACTCTCCCGTGTTTAAGAGAATGGCCGTTTGTTTGTGGTAAAGACATCAAATTTAACAGTATATGGTTTAGCTGAACATGGCCGAGGAATTTAAGAAGGGCACAGTCGACAAAGACGGCATTACTGAAGAAAAAACGGCTTTCGAGACCGGTATTCGTGAAAGTCAACGAGAAAGAATACCTACCCTCAAGGGAGAAGAATACCAACGTCAGCTATTACAACGAGACTATTCAATTGCATCCAGAGCATGGCGAAAACAAGCGAATATAGCAGAAGCTGTTCTGGCAGATTCAGCCGATGTGTTTGTGTTACAACATGAAAGATCGATACTATCAGGGCGTATGGATGATTTGGCGAACACGCAAATAAAATTTGGTGGCTTAGTTAGCCAGGAACAATCGACTACATACGAACAATGGTGTCGCATACATCAAAATATCTTAAGTGATTTGAATACAAGAATTTCAAAGCTAATGGACGATCGAAGCTCTGCCATTTCTAAACGCTCGCATCGAAGCAAAACATCTGGAAAATCGACATCGACTAAGGCATCGAATTCTTCGCTGCGTCTGAGGTCGGAAATGCTAGCTAAGAAAGCTAGACTTGAAACTGAGCTAAAATTTCATGACACTGAAATAAAAAAGCCGGCTGACTTAAAAAGGCAAGAAGATGAACTGAAACATTTTCGAATCGCGAAGGAGCTAGCTGCTACCAATGCCGAAATCGAGGCAGTCGCTAAAGTTGAGTCAAATTACAGCATTGAGTTGAACCTCGAGAACATATGGAAGTTGCCAGATGACGACAACTCCGAAGAACGAGTAAAGCAGTATCTGGAATCTCAGCATACCATCAACAATAAGGGCCTAAACACACTTCCAGTTGACATAGATATCTGTGGATCCATAGTCAGCAAAACTCTAGCTACAGGCATAAATTCAAAAGACCAAGTGACACCTGGCAACGATTTAAATCCTTCATCTCCTCCCATCCCAACGACGCATCCAAGCTTTATACTACCAACTCCTCCGCTGGCTGTATTGCAAGGAGAAATGTCAAAAGAATCACTCCCCGTTTCTACGATCAGGAGAGATACATCGCCTCACGTCTCTGCCGGGTACAATGCAAATGCAAATGCCGATTCATTAACAAGACTGGTGGACCTGCTCGCACAACGACAAGATTACGATACGCTCCCACGTCCTAAGCCCGATGTCTTCAGTGGTGATTTACTTCAATATCCAATTTGGATCAAGGCCTTCGAGACTTTAATCGAAAGAAAAACGAATCAACCATCCGAAAGACTTTATTATCTCGGAAAGTACACATCTGGGGAAGCGAAAGAAGCAGTAAGCGGTCTCTTACCCTTGGACACAGAAACAGCGTATGCGAAAGCCAAGAAAATCCTAGCGAACAGGTTTGGTAATTCCTTTCTCGCCTCGAATGCGTATCGAAAGAAACTGGAGAATTGGCCAAAGATTGCGCTGAATGATGGTCCAGGTCTCAGAAGATATTCAGATTTTCTCCAACACTGCTGTACCGCGATGGACAAAATAAACTGCCTGAACGTCTTGGATGATCCAGAAGAAAATCGAAAGATGCTAAGTAAACTCCCGAACTATCTTGTGAACAGATGGGGGCGTATTGTAGACGATCGGATTGGAGAAGACATTAACGAACGAAGTGATGACGAAGATGAAGTTGGAATGCCACAAAAGACCGAGGGAAGAAACTATCCTTCATTCAAGGAATTCTCCCGGTTTCTGAAGAAAGAAGCCCGGATTGCATGTAACCCTGTGATCTCTCAATGCTTTCTCAAAGGAGAATCAAAGAAGAAAGAAGTGAAAGAGTCGAATTATAAACAATCCCGTTATAGAAACGTTGGTGTCAACAGTTTCGTGTCGCAAACAGAAGATTTCTCTCTTACTATTGAAGAAAGTCGAATGAAGCCAAGGAATGATGTAAAGAAACTAATTTGCATATTTTGTAAAGAGATGCACGAAATAGACGTTTGTGAGAAATTTCTTAAACTTCCTATGGATGGTAAAAGAGAATTTATCATCGCGAAACGTTTGTATTGGGGATGCTTGAAATGGGGCCACCTGAACAGTAATTGTCGCGTAAGAAAGATATGCAAGGTTTGCAGTGAAGCACACCCAACTTCTCTTCACGGAGATAATCGGAAGTCAAGATCGAAATCGAAAGACGATTCTTCGAAACCGAGACAAGAACTAAATAAAGTCAAAGACAGTTCGAATGAAGATACAACCATTTCCAACTGCATTGAAGTTTGTAAAACGAACACGTACAGTGGGCCAATCTCACATTCCCTCATTGTTCCTGTTTGGCTGCATCATAAAACCAACCCGAATCACAAAATCATGGTATATGCGCTTTTGGATGAACAGTCAGATGCGTGCTTCGTTAAGGACTTTGTCCTGGATGAAGTAGGAGTCGATGGTCCTGAAGTTCAACTCGAGATTTCAACATGATTGGCACGAGAAACCGATCGCTGGTTTAACAGTTCGTGGTGTGAACGAGATGAGTGAAATTACCCTCCCTGGAACGTACGCCCGAGAGGTAATCCCAGCAAGACATGGACAGATTCCTAGACCAGAATCGGCCCGGAAATGGGTCACACTTGCAGAAGATCGCTGAGTTTTTGATGCCATTCCGAAACGATGTGGTGGTTGGACTCCTCATTGGCACAAATTGTGCACGAGCGATCAAACCACGTGAAATCATACCTGGTAATGATGATGACCCTTACGCGAAAAGGACTGCGCTTGGCTGGGGAATCGTTGGCATTGTCAAAGCGAAGGTAAACGAGGAATCCGACGAGAATTACGTTGTTGTGAATCGAGTCATCACACACGAAGCCAATGTTGGTCCAGACAGAAGGATTTGTCATTTGGCCTTGAGAGCAGAGCTCAAGGAGATTATGAACCCAAGTATGTTTAATCAAATGTTCGAGTTAGATTTCAGTGAATGAAGGAAAGAAGAACAACCTCTTTCCTACGAAGATAAGATGTTCATTAAGAAGGTCAAGAAAGGAATCCATCAACGTGAAGATGGCCATTATGAAATACCCCTACCTTTCAAACATGACGAAGTGAAGCTGCCCAATAACAAAAGTCAGGCATTGAGCCGTCTTTCGAAGCTGAAACAACGATTCCTGAGAGACAAGAAATATCAAACGGACTACCTGATATTTATGAATGGAATCATTGCTAGTAACTACGCCGAACTTGTTCCTCAGGAAGAGATGGAATTGGACGACGGTCGAATTTGGTATCTACCGCACCATGGTGTCTATCATCATAGAAAACCTGACAAGATAAGAGTAGTCTTTGACTGTAGTGCTGTATACAAAGGACAATCCCTAAATCAAAATCTATTACAAGGACCTGACCTTACAAACAGTCTGCTGGGCGTTCTTTGTCGTTTCCGCCAAGATAACACTGCTTTCATGTGCGATCTCGAGGCTATGTTTCACCAAGTGATGGTGAATGTCAACGATCGAAATTTCCTTCATTTCCTATGGTGGAAGGATGGTGATTTGGACAACGAACCAATTGTGTACCGAATGACAGCGCACTTATTTGGAGCAACTTCATCACCTGGTTGCGCCAACGTTGGTCTAAAGACGACAGCCGATGACTACGAAAGAGAATGTGGTAGCCAAGCAGCCAATTTTGTGAGAGATAATTTTTATGTTGACGACAGATTAAAGTCTGTTTCCACGCCCACCGATGCTATCGATCTAATCCAGAAGACCAAAATGCTATGCAAGAAAGGAGGCTTTCGTTTTCACAAGATAATCTCAAACAGTAAGGAAGTCATTGAAGCAATTCCCCCCGAACAACGTGCGAAAGGCATTCAAGACCTGGATCCAACTTGTGATGCCCTTCCAATTGAGAGAGCCCTGGGAGTCCAATGGTACGTGGAAACTGATACTCTTAAATTTCGGATTGAATTGGCTGACCGACCACTTACAAGAAGAGGCATCTTGTCAACAGTGAGTTCTGTGTTTGACCCCTTGGGAGTCCTTGCTCCGTTCGTGCTAATTGGAAAGAGAATCCTTCAAGAGTTATGTAGAGATGGAGCGAATTGTGATGACAAGATTCCAGATTATCTGTTGTCGAGATGGGAAAGATGGAGAAACGATGTAGTACTCTTAGCAAAACTAAGTATCCCTCGTTGCTATGTACCAGTCGACTTTGGAGAAATCAAAGTAGTGGAAATGCATAATTTCTCGGACGCAAGTGAAATTGGTTACGGACAGTGTTCCTATTTGAGGCTCGTTGATCATCTGGGTCAGATTCATTGTTCGTTGGTGTTGGCGAAATCTCGAGTGGCACCGTTGAAGCTTGTAACAATTCCTTGTTTAGAGCTTACTGCTGCGTTGGTGACGGCGAAAGTCGGGGTGTTATTGAAAAGGAAGTTAGAGTACGAGCAAGTCAATGAGTTCTTTTGGTCTGACAGTAAAGTCGTACTTGGGTACATTTTCAACAGTGCGCGTCGTTTCCATGTCTTCGTCGCAAACAGAATTGAACAGATTCGTGACCTTACTTCACTTGCTCAATGGAGATATGTAGAGTCGAAAGAAAATCCAGCTGATTATGCTTCCCGTGGTCTTTACGCCCAAGACTTAATTGACAAGAAAGAGTGGTGGCATGGACCCGATTTCCTTTGGACCAATTTTGACACACAGGGAGGTGTAATCGAGAACGCAGTCGCTGTTTCTCCAGATGACCCCGAAGTGAGAAAGAGTTCCACACTTGTCACTGAGGTCAAGGAACTAGCAGACATTGAAGAACGTTTGCGTCGTTTTTCCAGTTGGAATCAAGCTAAGAGAGCTATTTCGTTTTGTCTTCGTCTTAGAAAGAGACTTATAAATCAGCTGCATCAGAAGAGTTCGTCAGCCTCCGATGGTAACAAGCCGGAGCGGAAAGAAATCGAAGATGACGGACAAACAAATCCCATTAGTAAAGATTTGAAACAGCTAGTGAATAAAAGCATCAAGGCTACCAGGCAAGAAAAGTTGTCCTACAAGCCAGTAAACGTCGATGAACTCCAGGATGCTGAAAGTGAAATCATCAGGATTGTTCAGAACAAAGCATTCGACAATGAGATTGTTTTATTACGTCATCAGGATCCACAGAACATAACCCCTCCCTCCGGAGATGTTCGAAACCAAGTCAGAAAAACTGTGAAAAAATCGAGTTCAATTTATCAACTAGATCCGTTCCTTGGTAAGGATGGTATTCTGCGTGTGGGTGGCCGAATCAGACGTGCAAGTATTCCTGAGAACGTTAAGCACCCATGTATCCTTCCAAGAAAAGGCCATGTGACCGAGTTAGTTATCTGTCACCATCATCAGAAGGTTGCACACCAAGGGTTCAGTATCTGGTTAACAAGTTTTGTTAACGTTGGAGAAACGAATTTATTCAATCCTTACAAGTACGGCAAAAATGGATGCGTCCCCGAAAGAATCTTAAGATTGGAGATGTGGTCATTGTAAAGGATATAGATACGCCTCGCAACCGATGGAAGCTCGCAAGAATTGTAGAGACATATCCCGAGAATGACGGACTCGTTTGAAAGGTCAAAATCGCCTTAGCTGACAGTACTTTAGACGACCAAGGAAGACAAAAACAACCTATTTCCTATTTAGATCGACCTGTTCAGAAATTGGTTCTCCTCCTGTCCAGAGATGAGTATGAAGACCGGGTAGTCCCTGACGAGGAGCCATGTGTAAAGCCAGGATCATAATGATGAGTGGTAAACTGTTGACGTCGATAAACGATAAGTTTTAATTTTAAATAGTTAAATTGCTATACAATTTAGAGGAGCCATGTTAAGAATTGACTTCTAATTAGTTTAATTATTCTAAACAGTTTATGATAAGATATGCATGAATAAATAATTAACACAAAAAGATTAGTAGATAGAATTTGGAATTGTTTAGTTATAGTTAGAGCGCTTATAGTCAGAGCGCATCGAAATCGAACGGTGATATAAACGAGAGTTATTAACTAAGAGTTTATAAAAAGGGATCTGCGGGGACAGAGGTACGTTTATATAATAATATACTGTAGTGATTTATAATTGTAATATATAGCAGAGTAGATAGATTAATGACTTGTAATTATTGTTTATTTTAGTTTTTACGTACTGTCCTGGATAAATATACGTTTAACATACAAGAAGACTATAGACCACGAAGAGTCAATGCGTTTGTAACATAGACCACGAAAGGTCTATGCGTTGTTGTTAGTTTGTTTTGTCGAGTTTATCCGGACGGTTCAGTAATCTCAGCCACTCTCAAAGTCCGATCCTTTACAATGTGTTTGTAATGTTTTTGGTCAGGGGTGGGTATTTATTAATTGATATTTGAGGTTGGTAATCAGGTTTTTGACTTTTTGCCACGAAAAACATTTTTCTTTGGTGCCGTCCCCCCCCACCCCCCACCACCACCATAGATAATGACCGGCCCCTTGTAACCACAAAATGTAATTTTATAATTTGCATAAAACATGTCTACCCTGCCAACTCCACTTTAAAGTGCAAGCTATTCAATAAAAGGTTTGTACCATTGTCTGGAAATATGGTACAACCTTACTATAGTTACCTTTTTTCTACTTGTTGTAGAATCATAGACAAAAATATATTTGATAATACTAGGTTAATTGGCCATCAACTTAGAAGTATGACACCTTTTTACCTGTAAAAGATGCAACAAATATCTTTGAATGCCACAGTAGGAATAGGCATGTACAACAAACCCTACCTCGACCGTACGTTTTTCCAGAGGAAAAAAGGGTTGTTGAGTTTCTACATACAAGCACTTTTAAAGTGGGAAAAATAGGGTACTATTACATACCTATAAATGGCTTACTTTCAGGTATTTTCTATTTTTCTTTGCAGAGTACAGTGCTTTGTTACCAAATTTTAATGCATAGTGAATGCGCACCCTAACAAAGAGTCTCAACAAATACAAGCTTGGAAAACTTGGACATCCTAACAATGAAAACGTTGGAAGTTTTGAAAGTAAGTACTTCCCAATCTCTAACTTACTTACATTGTTTTCAAATTCTATAACAAATTTTGCTTCCAAGCCCAGAAGATGGTCTAAAAATGTATCTGATGGTGAAATAAGTCCACCAAAAGGTTTTTCTTTCGTTTCTTCGTATGTCTTGAATAAGCATAGCAATTGTGTGCTGCTGTTTAGATCTTGCTTGGTCAGTGCATTCTGACATATATCACAGAAATGCTTCAGAAAGTACTTCTTAAGCAGATAGCCTGTGACATATGTTACTGCATTCATCCCAATGATGTTACCTTCTAGGCAGGATTTGTAATCAGTGACATCAACTTCCATAGGAGCTGCAGCTGGTCCTTTTGTGACATCCCGTTCAGGTGGCTTTGACGCTTTCTGGAAGTTAGACCCAGCCAGTAGAATTACATCTAGATCCTCTGTGCAGTTTCCACTTGAAAGGACTAGACAGTGATCATAGAAAAGTTTTCTGAAAGCCCTGGTGAATTGGAGTGGGGTAGGATTATAGGCGGATTGAGCCAAAGAAGTTCTCAAGGGGGTCTTGATTGAGCCGCCTTGTCATAAGAAAATCAATGGAGTCTTCTTCATGAAGCATTTTCCATAGGGATAAAACTCCAGTTATGGTCAGGCACAAACCATTCGGACATTTTAAGTTGTTTGTGTGGTCTTGCTGTGTGGCACTATCAACGACTTTTATGGATTTTATTAATGATAACATGTCTGAAAGAAACTCATGGTGAACAGACTTGTCAGAGATTGGTCTTCGATGTTGTTTTGAACTGTTTAATGTTGAGCTGTTCAGACAGTCAAATATTTTGTCAAAATTGGCAACAAGTTCAGCAGTGCTTGCACCAGTTGAAGGTAGGGCACCAAGACTAACATAGGTGAAAATAGTAGCGGAGACAGAATGGCTAAGAATTTGGGTAGCATACTTTCATTTTCGTAAATCCAGTTAAATGTATATGTTTGTCTGTCAGTTTTGGGCAGCATCGAATTGCTAGCGACTTGTCCCTTTCATACATTGTTAATATGTCATTCCATTGGGCGATTTGGTGGCCATAATGAAAGTCGTAATTAATCAAGTTGTTCCTGACAGCCTTTATTAGGTGCGGGGGGTCGAACAAATAGAAAATCTTTCTGCCATTGTACATAAACCATGGTGCTGTTGGTGTGATGTTCATTTCCCTTAGAAGTTTCTGAAAATTAGAACCAAGGTCAGATATGATAGCACGTACTTTGAGACCAATCGATGTAATTTGGCCAATTATCTCAAACAATTTTGTTTTTAGGATGCTGCTTGGACAAGACTCGTGGACTAAATAGTATCCAAGGGGCTGTTTCCAATTGGATGTTATACCACGGGCCATGAATACGACAGCAGCTGTTGCCAGGCGATTGGTTCGATGGCCCTTTCCAAAATCTTCGACACCAACAACCTCATTTCTTCTGGAGTCATACATGAGTGATGTTTTCAGGGATATTTCATCCATGGAAATTGTGCATAGCTTGCCAGCATCACTCATGCATTTTACCTTGCTTTCAATAGCATCCAATGCTTTTTGTGATATCCCTGGAGATATTGGTAACCCAGATACCCATCTCAGAAGACTGCTTTTTGAAGGTAGGTTAAAAAATTTTGAAACTAGTCTATATGCCTTACCACTCACATGGTAGAGTGATATGGCAAAAGATTTCATTTCTGGTGTGTATCGTTTCCCCCCGTTTTTTCTGGTGTGTAGGTGCATTTGGACTTCAATGAATTTGACAATTCTTTCTGGAAGCACAGTTTGTAATACCTCCAAAGCTGCTTTCCTGCTTATGTCTCTCTTCTTTTTCTTATTTAAGGCTTGTCTCAGACGTTGAACCCTTTTTCGTTGTCTTGCCAACAAAGT